GAAGCTAAGTGATGAAATCAAATCAATATTTTATTTGGAAGGTACCATTCATTGAGATTATACTGAGCCGCAGACTCCCATGTCCAATAGTAACGAATTGTATTGAGTATTGTGGTGCCAGGTACCTTTTAATTGCTTCACAGATATTATCAGAACAATTTTAAGATGGATATAATTACTCTTTTCTTTTTATATAATCAAGAAAATTTGCAAAGAGGGGTGATAGAACTGCTCCAGTTCACATAGTCATTGTCAGAGCTGAAATTCTAATTAGGGAGGCTAATTCTATGACCTGCATCTTAACCCTGCATTATATGCAGCTCAAATTTAACATGTGAAAATGAAACATTTTACTTCTGCCTCAAAATCTGCTTCTTTCTGGTTCTTCCCTATCTCTCTCTCATTTTATTTCCCTATTGCTTATTGCACTTGGAAAAAAATCCAAATACCCCATACCATGGCCTAGAAGGTTCTGCAAGATTATACATCTTTGACCTCATCTTGAAAACTTTTTTTCATTTGTTTAACCATTCACTCAACGTTGGTCTTGTTGCTGGTCTTCGAACACAACAAACTTATATCTGTCTTACAACTTTTGCACTATTTTTCATATTTTAATGTTTATCCTTGAAATTGTGACTTTCTGCCATTTACCATTTATCTAAAAGGTCACCTCTGCAGTGAAGCTTTCCCTGATTAACCAGTTTAAAATAGCCATCTAATCATTTGTTTGTTTTCATCTCATAGCAGTTGATACTTTAAGCTACTGTATCGCAATTTCTTATTTGTTTACTTTTTGTCTCTTCATTCATATAAACATAAGCTCTGTGTAAAATATAAGCTCTGTGAGAGCAGGGATTTCACTATCTTTACTCACTGCAGTGTCACCACTGCTCAGAAAAGAGTTTAATACACCAGATATGCTCAATAAATACTTGTTTGGCATATAAAGGGTGTATTGAAGAGAGAAATGCATGATCAAAACTGGATGTAGGAAAATGTATCTAATAGTATGGAGGATGGACTGCAGTGAGAAAAAGTATCAGTTGAGGAGACTAGTTAGGAAGCTGCATAATATGGAGGATGATGCTAGAAATAAGGAGAAGAAATGTGAGAAGTATAAGTCAGTTAAAACCAGTAAAATTCTGAAACTGAGCTGAAGGGACTCTAGGTCCCTTGGAATAAAAAAGTGCCATTCATATAAGTAAGGAATGTTAGATGAAAAGTCAGCCTGGGAAAATTATAAATGATAATTACAAGAACAATTTCGAATTTTGCATTTGAGATGTCATTAATAGGCAAAATATATGGGACTCAGAGTTAGCAGAGAAGTCGGGACCAAAGCTGCATTTGTCAGATTGTGTAAGAATTACCAAAGTGGGATTTAGGAATGGGAAAGCAGCTTAGGGCTAAATTTCCAAATCATACACTTTTAGAAGACAATCAGAAACAAAGAATAGGCAACAAAAAGGAATCAAAGAATGTATAGTTTTAGGAAAGCAAAGGAGACAAGAATTTTGAGACGAGAGAGATGATCCAATCATAGAGAGAATGACTACAAAGACACTGGTTTTGATAAATAGTTTACCTTTAGAAATTGAGGAAGTGATTTGAGGAGACTAGTGAGGTCCTTAATGCCTCTGGTGGAAGAAACAGTCATGGTGACTTCTCCTGGTAATACAATGCAAAGAGAAGCGGGAAATAATCTGCCTTAGTGAGGAGAAGTGTGAGAAAAGCAAGATTCAATGTAGAATAAGTATGATGAACTCATTTGAGATTTATGTAGAACTTGGGTATACCTACCTAAAGATTGCTAAAGAAATGAGATTGGAACTGTCAACAGATTCAATATCTTTTTTTCAGAAGGTTGGAATATGGAGGCAAGAATAGGGATAAAATTAGCTTAGCTTCAGTGGAAAAAAAA